CTCCCCCCCTCCTCCTCCTCATATCTTGGACCACACAGCATCAGCATCACCGCCATCGTTATATACACTGCCGCTATGCATCGGCTTGCCCAGCAGCGCGCACCACACGGCTCTTGCCTTGCCTCTCGTACGAAAAATTAAGCCGTAAACATTATTCGAGTTTCGGCTGGCGCCCCCCTGCTCCTCCTCTGCCTCCGCCCCGCACGGCGCACAGGATGGAGACTTGAATGCTCCCGCATGCGGGGCGGGGGGCGATGGGAAGGTGCGAGGGAGACAGGGGAGGGGGAGTGCGCGGCGTTCGACTGTCTCGCTGTGACACAAACTCCCCAGCAGGCGCCGGGCTATCGCCCTTGCTACTCAGGGCGGGAAAGATCCCTCCCCACCCCCTTAGCGGCACAAGGAAGGCAGTGCCCCAAAAATACACCCCGGCACTGTACTCGATTCAACTTCTACACCACACCGGCACAACACTCGCCTCCGCTGGGTTCTAAATCCGACGGCGCGCCGGGGCGTCGCGGCGTCGCGGGCGGATGCGTTGCCGACGCGACGGCGACCCCCGCGCGCGTGGACTGCATCGAGTGCGGCGAAGGACGGAGGACGCAGTGGTGACGTCGCGGAGGTGCGGCGGGGTCTGCGAACCCCTTCTGACCCACAAACACGGCTCATTCGACGCTTACCTTGCACCCACAGCTGGTCCACGCGGGTATGGACGGAGGCCGACTTGAGGGCGACGCAGAAGGTGGACAGGACCAGGATGGCGACGAACAGCACCTTGCCGGCGTGGCGCTGCAGCGAGCACCCCAGGTCGAACAGGTGCGCCTGCAGCCGCGCCCGCATCCACAGGGAGCCGCGCCGGCCGCCCGCCTTGCCCTGCAAAACAAACGGAAAAACAAGACGGCGTTAAATCAAACAGCACTTCCAGTCGTGTTTGGCCCGGGTAAGCGGTCCGTTGTGTGCCCACGAGCGGGGTGGTGTTGATGGTGTTGGTCAAACAGGGGCCGTGTGCTGTGCGGCGTGAGCGCCCCTCCCCTCCCATCGGGGCACACCTTGTTAGAGCAGGGGAGGAAGAGGGGAAGTGGCGGGAGGGGCAATATGGGGGCGCATAAAAACCGCCATCACGCCGTCGCCGTCGGCACGTCTGTCAAGTCGGCCGACGAGGCACTCTGGGGCGTTATGCTCTCATTTCGACTACAACTCAGATCCTGCCCCACCCCTTCCTCCTCCTCCTGCTCCACGTCAGACCCGGAGCGCCAGATGGGAGCGGTGGCGGCAAAGCTTGAGCGTCATCCACATTAGGGTTACACGCGACAGTTTAACAAGTTGCTTAGACAGAGGCCAGGCTCGTACGGGGCGCGGATCTCATAACGCCGCCGCCAGGCGCGTTTTTCATACTCTGGACCGTTTACAAAAGTGTTCAGCCGCCGATGGCCGTAAAGCCTCTGTCCGTCCACGCTGTGAGACCGGCACGCCCGCGCGCGGGGGCCGCAGAGCCGCCGGACGCAGCGCAGCCCCCGCGCGCACGCACGCACGCGTCGCCCCGGCAAACGTTACGACTTTAGAACAGCACGGCAGTATGTAACGAGAATGTATTGTCCCGCTGCGGCGGCCTGCGACACGGCCGGCGACACGGCCGGCGACACGGCCGGCGGGACCTGCGGCCGGGCCGGGGCGGGGCGGGGCGAAGCCGGGCGAAGCGTAACGGCCTAAAAGAGCCCATAAATTCGGGAACTTGGCCGCCGACAAGAGTGCCAACACACATCTAGGCCGTCCGTCAGAGAGGGGCCTGCGCAGTGCTGCGCGCCCCCCGGGGCCATGTGGCGGCAGGGCTCCCGTCGTAAGCGCTCTACGGAGAGTCGGAAGAAAATAAAACACAAAAAAATTAAAACTAAACAACAATTTTGAAAACGTGTGCATGTGTGAAACGTTTTGTTCACGGTACTAAAAAGAATCTGCGCATATGGTGTACTGTGTGCACCACACAGGTGAGATGCATAGATAGCTTTGCTCCGGTCCGTGACCTAGGCCAAGAGTGGCCGAGGGACAGGAGAGGGGTAGGGGAAGAGGTCACTGGCACTGGCGATGCTGGCACGCGGCGCGGGCGCGCGAGCGGTGGCGCGGCGGCAGGAGAGAAGGGGCCGAAGGGGGCGGCGGCCAGCAAGGTCACTCCCCCCCCTCTCCCTTCCCCTTCTCTCTCAGAGAACGCGGTGCAAAACACTCGGCGAGTTATTCAGAGCCTCCCGTCCCGTCCGTCGGTGACGCTCGCTCGTTCTTCTCTGATTTGGGCCCCTCGCCCCGCCCCGCCCCGCCCCGCCAGCACGAGCCTCCAGAACGGTACCGGCCCCGCGCGCTGCTCCCGCACTGTGCCCCACATACCGACAGCACTCCAGCCATCCGCGGCTCCAGCTCGGCAGCGACGCGCGAGCGACGGCGACGCAATTCGCTGGGAAACGCGAGGCCCGCGGCGTGCGGCGCGCAGGAAAGTGACGGGAGCGGTGTGGAAAGTGAAGTCCGCACGAGACCGCAGCAGGCCGGCCTGACGGTGGTCGTGTTGTGCGTCGTCGAGAGGAGCTCTCGCGGTCCAGCAGCAAACAGCATCCAGCAGGGCTCCGGGGCTCCGTGGAGCGCGCCTGCACGCCCCTCCCACTGCGAACCTGCCGACCCAACCCGACTACTTTTGATTCGAACTCCGCCCCTATATGCCCGGCCGTCCGGTCCGGTCGCAGCAGCACGAGCCGCGGCCCGCCGTACATGGTCGCGGCCAGGATGGCGGGCGTGCGAGGGAGAGACGGCACACGCTCTCGCTCTCTCGCTCTCTCTGTTCCCTTCTGGACACAATCGCAAGCCGGCGCCGTCTCCGCGCTCTGCTTTTATTGCAATCACTTCCGAGTGCGCGGTGCACAGGGGGGGCCGGGGCTGCGGCGCTCGGGCCGGCGGCCACCCAGGGCACCCGGAGGGGCCCACCGACCGGGCGCAGCACGCCCACCACCGGCCCGCGCCCGCCCGCACAAGCAATACCGCAGTTGTTACAGCTTCTCGGGATCCGGCCGTGGAAGTCTGTGGCTGCTCCAGAGCTCCCCGAGCCCCAGCAGCTGCCCGCTCAGGCCGCGACTCTCACCAAACGTCGTCGACGTACAGCCTGCAGGGAGGGCGGCCTCCAATCCGACAAGCCTCTCCCTCCTCTCTCGTGACAACTGCGGAGGGTGCTCTGAAGGATCCGCGACACCGAGGCCAGACTGCCAGACTGCACTTACGCGCAAGGCCGCTGCCGCCCCCGCGCCTACCTCTACGTCGTCTCCATCCTGAGATTGGGGAAGCCAGAGAGAAAGAGGGAGAGGGGGGGGCGGCGGATGCTCAGCTGTCCCTTCATCGTGATCCCGCCGCCAGGTGACGGGAGGATGCAGGGAGGGGAGGAGGGGCCTACAGAGCAGAGGGGCGGCGTTGACACCCGCCGCGCCGCCCCGCCCGCCAGGCTCACACCCACACGACATGTGAGCGTATAGGACAGAAAAAAAACTGGCAACACCGCCCGGGCCCCGGGCCGGGGGCTCAGCGTGGCGCAGAGCGGGCGGCTGCACAGGCCCGGGCCTACGAGTCCCGTGGAGCAGCCACCCTCGCCTCCACGGAGCGCCACGGCCAGCAGCAGTGCAACGTTTGGAAATGGCATCTAACGCCAAGGCTTCAACTTCACCTTCAAAAAGGGTTATAACGACTGCTTGTTCATAGCGAACTGGAGCTACTCGTAACTCGGGTCACGCAGTCAGGCCTCAGTCGGCCCATCCTCTGCGTTCCAGCTAAGTCAAAACCGGGGCAGGAGGCGGTGGTTGATTAGCGCGCGGGGGGATCAGCTGCGTCAGTGGTTGCGGATCCACTCCTTTACACGCGCTGTAAATTAAAGACAAACGGGGCGGCGGACGCGAAGGGGAAACGGACGACACGGCAGGAAGATGAGGAGTAACGGCGCGGCGTCCCGGGAAACGGTCGGGGTAACGTAAGTTACTGTACAGCAGAGTGCGCCGTTCCGACGGCGCAGAAAATAACTACTACTATACAGTTCTCGAATTGGAGTAGTGTTCCGCGAACGGCTATCGAATTCTTTTCGCGGCGAGGAGCGCGGGGGGTGGCACGGCGCTGCCGGCTGCCGCGCACTCAGGGGGCCCCGCGGCCCCGCCGTACCCGGCCCGCCCCGCCCGAGAGGCTGGACCATGCCGGACCTGCCGGACCACCG